AACCTAAATCCCTGAACCCTAAACCAGGCCTGACAGAAGACTCGAAGCCTCGATTTGTGGCGCATGGTGGCCTGGCCAAGGAACCGATGCCAGGACCTGGGAAGTGAATTTTGGGGCCCAAAGCTAGGGTTTAGGGTTTTAGGGTTTAGGGTTTTAGGGGTTTAGGGTTTTAGGGTTTTAGGGTTTTAGGGGTTTAGGGGTTTAGGGTTTTAGGGTTTTAGGGTTCTAGGTTTTAGGGTTTTAGGGTTCTAGGGTTTAGGGTTTTTGGGCTTTAGGGTTTAGGGGTTTCAGGGTTTTAGGGGTTTAGGGTTTTAGGGTGTAGAGTTTAGGGATGGGTCTATTCATTGGGGGCTGAGCTGCCTTTTGGTAGTTCGGTGGGCGAACCCTAAGTTGGAGAGTGCCCGATTTTCATGGACATATACTATCATATTATATATATATATATTATACAGATATAGATATATAAATAGAGATATAGGTGTATATATATATAGATATATATATATGTATATATTTAATTCTGCATGACCCCCCTGAAAGCCTAACCGTCGTGACGCATAAGCTGGTTCATGCTACAGTGTTACATTCTTCAAAGGTGGGAATTTAGTTCCTTCTAAAAATGGGACCGCATTCGTGTCAAATGATAGTTATAGGGTCCTTGTTGCAACTAAATTCCACTCATTATTCTTGTCCGAGATTATAGGGGATGCGACTGCTGGCGTTTTGATATGATTTCATCTCGGATTAGAAGTACGGCTCTTGATGTTTCCCGCTTCTTCTACATGGCCGCTTTCTCCATGTATATACTGACTACCCATATCTTATAATAGGGGTCATTCTCTACATGGAGACTTTGACAACAATCACTGGGGGCCTGATGAAAGCTTCTCTTCGGGCGGTTGCTTGAAAATCGCAAGTGTTGCTTGGGACCCTGGAGTTACATTAATGGGTTAGGGAACCTACCTCTAACTAGTTACAGAAGAATGTGTTCCTCAAAGTAGTTACGGTTAAACATGAGCAGCATGTAAGCGGTGGCTACCGTTGCTGCTTGTGTTCCTTCTACTGCCGCTATATGTTACTCTTGCTGCTGCTACGCTTGTTCGGGCTTCCGCTACTCTTTACTAATTAGCATCACTGTTTGCTGAAACGAGGGTTGAAGTCATAGGTGTCTTACCTAAACCATAAACGGGCAATTTGCGACACTGTCCGGTGGTCATGCCCGTGTTGCCCAAATGACTCCCAGATCGTTCTGTTGTTCCAGCCTGTCAGTGCCAGCTTCACCATATGTATCCATACGTTCTTGCTGCATCTGATGCAAAGTAGGAGTTTCTTAAGCAAAGCTTACTAGTAATTTCCTGTGACTGAGCCCCACAGGTGTGGCTGGTCATGCAGGGTTTCATTCCTGTGCGTTCAGCTGAAAGTGCTGCACTGGCAGGACTACTTCCTGTGCAGAAGGCCGGTGTTGTTTATTTCTCCGTTCTCATTCGGAGCTTGTAGTACCAGCCCGAATCAATTGGTCGCAGTGCTCGTGGCAGAGTAGTTGACAGTATGATAAGTTGTACTCGTCTAAGAGCATAGCCGCTATTTCGCTGGAGGCGTCTAGAATATTGTTGTATGACTCGAGGTTGGTTCCATCTAGGGACCGCTCACGTAACACAACCCTGTGAAGGTCGTGGTACGTCGAACCTTTGTGGAGAATGCCGCTGAGGAGGATTCTGATCTCGAGGAGGCTGCGCGGGGTTCTGAAAGCCAGGCAAAACACCTTTTTGCATGGACTTCCCAGGAAGAGACCCTCTACCCTAAACCCCACATCCAACACTTTCTTGGCCCGAACCGTCAGGCCCAGACTGCGAGCAATTGGATCATCATGAAGGGTTTTATGTTAGGTGAACCGGCTCCCTCTAAAAGTGGCATGATCGGAGCATAAGAGGAGCCAAATATAAATATCATGTATCGCCATTATCCCTTTTTGTCAGTGTACCTGGGTGGGGTGCACCTATGTTTTGTTGGGGAAAGAGCCGGGTCTGAGGAAGTCCCAGCCGGCCTATAGGCTCTAACAAGGCTGAGGGAATGGTGAGGTCAATATGGTAGTTTCCCAAAATAAGGGGACCCCAATATGGACCCCAAAATACTATAATCCTTATCATAAGGACCCCCAAAATGGTACCCCTAATTTTGGGAAACCCCCATATTCTAGGTGAAGGCTTTGGCCTTCCGGGTAAACCCTAAACCCTTGCAGGTTTGAGCGCTGACCTCATTTTGTCTTGCGGCCCATAAATAGGTACTCATTTTCTACCCAGACTTGCAAACCAGACCCCCCCAAAGAGTTAAGTTTCAGTCGCAAATCCTGCCAAACGCGGAACCTCCCAAAAATGAGAATTCCTGACAAAGGAATTTAAGGCGTAGCATCCCCTGCATCCCGTGGTTGGGGTTACTAACATCCTGTCATTAAGTGAGGGTCTTAGGGTTTAGGGTTTAGGGTTGTACTTGAGGGGCCAGGGGGGCTTGGTAAGTATTCTTATAGCCCCGATAGGCCATACAAGAACCCCTATGATCCTCATTCTTAACCCACTTACCCAGCCCCCACAACCCCAAAGCCTAAATGAGGTTAGTAGGCCCCGTATTGTTTTCCGCCGTTCCCTCATACATCCCCAGATAACCCTTCCCTATATATCCCCATCTTGCCCTACATATCCCTATACACCTACATCCTATGTATGCCTATATGCCCCTATATACCCCTACATAACCCTCTATATCCCTATATATATATATATCCCTACAATATGGCCCTACATCCTATATATCCCTACATATCCCTTTTTATCCCCACATATCCTTAGATGTTCGCTGAGCCGAAGGAGCGCATGACAAGGGCGAGGAGCGAGGTGCCACCAAGCTTCA